GTGTGATGTGACTGGTTTCTTTCCCTGCCTCCCTGCCACCCCTCTTCCCTCCCATTTACAAAAACTTCATTTCCATTTCCTTCTCTCTCTCTCTTTTTTAATTCTTTTCTTTGGTTTCTCTTGTTCCCCTACCCATTTGAATATTTTCTTCCTATTTTACAACACCTATTACACGTTTTGGACCTTAGTTACACTTTTGGTTTCTCACACCAGAAAAACAATGTGGTATTTACATATGTGTATCTGATTTACTTCACTTAAAGGTACAGACTCGAGGTGAATCCATTTCTTTAGATGGCTCAAGCATATTCTTCTTCATGGCAGAGTAGTACTCCATTGTATAGAAAAAGTCACATCTTCTTTATCCATTCCTCAGGTGATGGATGTTTGGGTTGTTTCCAAGATTTGACATTACAGATTGTGCCACTATAAACATAGATGTAAGCATGCAGCAATTACTTATGGTTAAGTCAATTATTAAAGTGTAGAAGGGATCAATTGTGTTTATTGCCACAGTCTCTCAAATAGATGATTACAGGGAAGTGACCAAGACATCTGTTCACAATTTTTAGAAGGCATCTGGGTGTTTGGGACACTTCAGCTCACAACAGAGAAGAAGCCCATCAGCCAGGTGCACGGGATTTCGGAGTAAGAGGTTGTCTGAGCTCGAGTGTGTGACACTAGATTAATAATCCACACTCTTCATCCAATCTGGACACAGCCAAGATCACACTCCGTCACAATGACTCCACACTCAGTAAAAAGAAGGGCATTCTAACCCTGCACCCCAGAAAACTAGCAGTGACTACTGATCAAACCCCGTTCTCGTCTCACCAAAGGACAACATGATTCTTGAGCCATTTCGGAATCGTACCCTATAGCAATATATATGAAGTCAATAGCCTACTGCTGTGGATATGGGACTCTTCTTTATCCTGCTGAAGTTCTTCAATGCAGGTTAATACTAACTGTGATGGGATTAGTGTGTTTAGCTGACCAGAATCAGGTTCAATCCCACTCTCCTTCTCTCCCTTCTTCTCCTTCCTGGTTTCCCAAAGTCTGCCTCCTGATTTCCCATCCTCTTTCCTTCATCTTAATTCTTTATTAATTAGTGCATTTTTAGGTTTCTCATATGAGAGACAAGATGCAGCGTTTAACTTTCCGAGTCTGGCCAATTTCACTTAAAGTGATGGTTTCTAGTTCGACCCACTCTTCCCGTGTGTGACAGGGTTTCATTTCTCTTTATTGCTGAATAATATTCCACTGTTTGTATATGTACCACATCGTCTTTACCACTCATCTGCTGATGGGCAGCTAGGCTGTTTACCACCTCTGATGCTATAAACACGGGTATTCATGGATCTCTGTAGTATGCAGTCTTTAATTCTCTTGGTGTATGCCCCAGAATAGCATGTCTACAGTATCCCTTTGTGCAGTGCTCTGCAGCATCGCCATGCTGATTTCCACAGTGGCTGTGTTAGTTTCTATTCCCACCAGCAGTGCAGAGAGTTCTCCTTCTGCAGCCTTGCCAGCATTCACTGGCTTTTGCAGTCTTGATAACACCTCTTCTGAGTTGAGATGGAATCTCAACATGGTTTTAATTTACACTTCTCTGGTGATGGATAAGAGCTCAGGACATTTTTTTCACATGCATTTTGGCCATTCAAACTTCTTTTGTGAAATATTTATTCAGTCTGCTTACCTGCTTTTTTATTGGGTTTCACTGGTTTATGGACTAGCATGAATTTTTAAAAGTTCTGCATTCACTCTGGACAGTAACCCTCTTTCAGACGCGCAGCTAGCAAAGCTCCTCCCCGTGTTGGGGGGCTGTCTCTGCATTCTCCTCAGTATTTTCTTGGTCATGTGGAGACATTTTAATTTGATGTAGTCCTATGTGTTGATTCTTGATATTATGGCCTGTGCTTTTGGAGTTCTGTTCAGGAAGTCTCTGTGCCCGTGGTGTCGTGTTTTTTCTGTGTAGTTTCAATGTTTCTGCTGTTATAGTGAAGTCTTGGATTCACTTTGATTCTAGTGCGGTGTGGAAGACAAGGATCTAGTTCCAATTTTGAGCAGTTTCCCCTGTTCCATTTGGTAAGGAAACTTTCTTTTCTCCAGTGTGTTTTTGTTCCTTTGTAAAAAATCGGACGGTGGTGTGTGCTTGGGTTTGTTTTTGTGTCTTCCTCTCTGTGACACTGGCCTGCAGTTCCATTTTGATGGTTCCGCAGTGCAGCCTGGAGTCCTGGGGTGGCGATGCCTCTGGCACTGCCCTTTTGTGCAGTTGCTTTGAGTATTCTGGGTCTTTTCTAAGTCCAGAAGAAATTCAGTGTTGCTTTTTCTAGTTCTGTGAAGAATGTTAGTATTTTAATGGGAACTAAACTGAATAGATAGATTGCTTTTAGTAATATAACCATTTTAACAATGTTAATTCTACCAACCCAAGAAAAAGGGATATGTTTCCATTTTCTAATATCCTCTTTCATTTTTTTTCAGAGTTCTGCAATTTTCATTATAGAGGCCTTTCCTTTCTGATAGAATTTCTGGTGCGGCTAAAAAGATAAGAAATATGAAATAAAAATGGCCTTTATTTTAAGAATGTGGAGAGAGACTCCATGACCTCTGGGGTCTGGCTTTCTCTCTGCTGGACGTGGACACGTGGTGGGGGGGGCATACATGTAGCTTAGGTTTGGGGTGGAGCCTAAGGGGCATTACTGATGCACAGGTAGCCCCCTGGAATTCATTGGTGCCGCAGGTAAATTGCCTAGGGGCGGGGAAGGTGACCTCAGGATAGAGCCTTTGGTTCCGCCTCCCACCGCTGCAGCGTCCCATTCAGGGCAAAATCCTTTCACTTTCTTTGGTTGACTTGGAGGCATTTAATATTTCTGAAGCTATTAAAAATGTAGTTACTTTCCTGACTTCTTTCTCAGTGAATTTAATATTGGTGAGATTGATTTTTGTGTACAGAAATTAAAACTGACCACACAACCCAATGGATCAATTGGTTTCTTGAAAAGATAAACAAGTTTGATAAACTGCCAAACTCACAAAAAGAAAAAGAAGGCCCAAATTAATGAAATTAGTAATAAAAAGGGTGAAATACAACAGACACCATTAAAATTCAGAGAATCACCAAAATAATTTCCCAATTTATGTTCCAACAAACTGGAGAATCTGGAAGAAATGGATGATTTCCTGGACATATGTAACCTGCCAAAATCGATCCAAAAAGACACAAAAAAGTCTAAATGCATCAATAACCTTTACATAAGCAATCAAATTGAAGCAGTGACTAAAACTACCAACAAGGATGAATCTAGGACTAGATGGGTTTTCAGGTGAATTCTACTATAACTTAAGAAAAGAACTAACACTAAACTTTTCCATATAAGGGAAGAGGAATCGTCTTTCTTAATGCCATGTTTATTTTAATGGAATTTGTTATCATGTAGTATGGGCCAAAATGTCAGGATAAAGAGGACATCTTCCATACCACGTGCGTGTATGTGGCATTCACTGAACACGTCTGTTCTGTACCTGACATCACTTTTAACCTGAGTCAGATGACTGTTCTACAAAAGGCAGAGCTACCAAAGTGTCGTGGTTTAAGAAGGAAAGTTACCAGCATCTATACAGCCAATCCGACCAACCCTGAGAGTGGCTGCTAGATGCCAGGCATGTGAGAAATGCCGAGGACAGAGCGAACTGAGCACCATGTTTCTTCTCCAGAAAGACAGGACAGAAAAGATCTCAATCGATTCTTATTCTTTTACGAAATGGTGAAGAGTCACCGTGTCCCAGCCTAAGAAGGTCACCAGCTGTTGTAGTGTAGACACTGGCAATCTGAAGGTTGCTTAGTATTATTTAATCTGACGCCCATGTTTTATAGACAGAGAGAAACACAGAAAAATGAAAGAATTTATCAAAAATTGCAGCTGAGACGTGAACCCAGATTTCCTGACTTCTAACCAAGCATTCTCGGATTCCAACGCGTCTTTCTCAGCCCTGTCCTTCCCATTAGACTGTAGCAAACCATATTAATTAGGTTCAGAGGAATAGAGATCCCGCTTCTTCTCCCTCATCTTCTCAATTTCAGAGTTTTGGTGTAAAAGCTAACGCGATAAATTATGAAAGACCCTTTCCAGCATGCAGCAGGGAGCGTCCCAAACCAAGGAAGGCACATTTCTCACGCTGGGGGAATTAACCATAAATATAAACCCTCAGTCCAGCATCCTCAGATGCCACAGGTAGATGTGCAAAATTCGTCATTGCCCAATTACATTTTCTGATGGAACTTTTCTTTTATAATTGGCTTTTTAATTTCCACAGCTTCCACATAAAAATCATGGAGCCTCTTTTCTGGCATGAAAGCGTGCACCACTGGTTCGTAAGCCTTGTTCTACCATTAACCAGTTGTTTCTGAAACTTGGTGCTAATCCTTCCCCTCTAGCTCTGCTTCCTCAGTGAGTGACCTGAGAGCGCCAACCTCCAGTGACTCACCCTCCTTTTCAAATTCAGGCAAATCCAAGGTGCCAGCAATCCTCAGATTCCTCCCCTCCCCCTTCCCGCCTTCCTCCTCCCCCTCCACTCCTGGATTATTGGTAGCAGCCTTCAAGCTGTCAGTTGTAGGTGTGACTGGTTGAAAGCAATCTGAAGGAGGCTTTCAAACCCTGAGGACCTGTGAACACCGGGTGCCCACCTGGTGTTCACAGGTGAGAAGTTTTACCTTTGTTTGTAAACTTCATTCCAACTGTTCTTTTAAGGCCATTTTCTTCCACGGAGTCAGTAATCTTTTCTTTCCCTTAAAAAGCACTTAGAATACAATAATAATCCCCTTGCCTAACTCCAATGTATTAATTTGTAAGCATAAAGGAAATGACATGCAAAAAATTTTAATATAAATTATTTCCATTCGTTTTCTTCCTATTTTGCAGTTGATCTCTTTATAGAAAATAATACATATTTTCTAAATTACTTTAGAATAGTTAATGACTATTAAAATATATTTTCTTGACTATATGCAACTTCTGATAAATGATGTCTAGACAAAAGATAATGTAAACTGTTATCAATTAACATGTCTAGTTTAGGCAGACTTCAACCAAGTACTGAGCGGCACTGGACACAGGCTGGCAGAGGAACTTAACTCCATCAACAGGTAAGTTCCAGAGACAGAATTTCAGTCATCAAACCACTCTGATAAATGCACAACATTGTTAGCACGACTGATTGAGAAGCGACTGGAGAGAACTTAAAGTTTTATTTTCCCCTCTTTTGGATTTGCTTGTTGCTACCTGAACTCTGATCTGAATACTTTCTTCAAAAAAGAGAAGGCCAGGATGAGAGGAACCCACAGGTCCACAGGACGGGGCAGAGCCCTGCAGGTCCCAGCAGGCCTCCACACACCCCGGCTGGAGCCCCGAGCCAGTGATGCCGGTTCCCAGAGAGACTTTCCCAGTGACTGAGTTAGTTCCCATCACTACCGTCCATTTGTCATAAGTGAAAAAATATCCATTATATTATGAAAAGATTCTGTTAGCCCGCATTTGCTAATTATGATTGAGACCAGAAACACACAGACTTTCAAAGAAACAATCGCGGGCGAACATCTGTAAATAATTTCCCTTCGTCTTTGTTGTTCTGCTACTCACGGCAAATCTTCCAATCTGGAGGCTTCGTGTCTTGGATCCAGCAGATCGTAACCACACTCGTTGTAGATTTCCAAGTAGGAAATGTGTGTTGTGTATATTTTGCTGCTATCCTGATTGGAAAAGGGAAAGACATTATTGAATGACTATAAATAACAATTGGACCTGGAGAAAGAAGAACATATTCATCATCACGGTGCCTCACATTTTCTTTCCTTGTCACGCCCACTTTATATGGTTTACATTTTCAGTCCGTGACACTCTCAAGCTGCCAGTTACCATCCGCATGGAGCTTTCTTTTTAATGGCCAACACCCATGATTACAAGTAACTTCGGTCTGTTATTTTTATTGGTCCCACATTATATATAAAAAACCAATCTACACTTAAAATGAGCCAACTTGGTTGCAGAACTGTGTAACACACCACGTTGCACTTGCTAGAGCCTCCCGCAAAAGGTTACTAAGAAAAAAAAACAGTCTTACATTGTATGAATAGTCTCTGCATAAGAGAACACAGATTATTACTTTGGTTCAAAAACTTCAGTAGCAAATAGTTTCCATCATCTATATCCATCTATCTATTACTTTTCTGGGATCAAAAATTTCTGATAACATAGGTAGATGATAGCAAAGTCAAGCCTGGGGGATGCTAGATGGTTTAGAGCAGTCAGTGACACCGACGATTCTCTATCTGCACATTGTTTACTGGGTTAATTTTCCCGAATCAGAGACTTTCGGCTGCTGGTTAGAGAAAGCGTTTTCTGTGGCTGTGGCCGGGTACATCAACATCATGAGGCTGAGAGTCAGCCAGGCTTCACCCCGTGCGGCTGCAGACAGCCAGGACCTGCTCCCTCTGAGCTCAGACGCCGCGGGAACGCTTTTCAGTTCCTGAGACAATTCCAAGATCTGTTTTCCAGGCCAAATATCAGATAATTCTTTCGGAGCCTTCCCAACACCAATGCTTCCACTGATGCAAAGAGTACCCCGGCCCTCATAAGAAAAGAGTGTGTTTGGGTCTCGTGGCAGGAAGCCTGGCTAGGTCAAGGGGACAGTGACGCGGGTGACCCTTCTGACTGATTTTTACCATCACACAGCCACTCATTAAATAGGTTTCACTCACAGGGTGAGAGAACCAGGGCCTGGAGGCCAGGGAGAGAACAGTGGCTTACAAATCAAAAGCTGAACTCCTCAGCCAACCAGCTGTGAGCCCAATAATCGGACCCCAGGAAAGCGAGGAAATGAGATACGAAAGCCTGATGTGTTCTTTAGTTTAACATCAATAATTCTTTTGTCCCCAAATGGCTCAGATTACCCAAATGAAGATGTTACCACCTCATGACAATAAAATGATACATGAAAAATTAAGGCAACGTCCAGCCAATGCATGACTGTAACAGAGACACTTCAAGCTACAGCAGAAATGCTGCATGTCGCGGTCCTTGGACGGTGATGACATGGGCTGAATCCCTGCTAAGCACGGGTCTCTCAGCCGGATGCTGGAGGCCTCGCTGCTGTGAGGGACTCCAGTGCTTACCCTGACAAATGGCCTGTCCAGTGCATCAAGGTCCTGGCTTAGGGACGGGAGCATCTCAACATAATTGTTTGGCTGTGGTTTGGCTCAGCACGGGTATCAGAGACTGTGACTCTTAGGCTAATCTAGTGTTTCCCAAAATATTCCGTGAACTGCTCTGGGAAAAAAGTGTCCCATGGTAAACAGAGATATATATTATCTTTTGCTTCTCTCTAGAAGAGTCTCAGAGCATGAGAAAAAAATAAGGGACCCTTCAGTAACATTGCTGCTTAAATTAACATTAAAAACACGTATCTGAACATAGCCCCAAGATTATGGTCTGAACTTCAGCATACAGTCTGAGTTCTCACCATCAGACAGGTCTGGGTTTGAAGACTGAATCTTCTGTTTGCAATCAAGTGAGCCCGCAGCTCTTTCCCTCAGTTGTTTTACTGTGATAGTAAATCAGGGAATAATAATTCTAATCTTGGGGTCTCATGACAGAGAAATAAGACTATTTACAACTCTACCAAAAATATGTAAGGCCCGTAACAGTTCCCGAGAATCACTGCTGCTGCCTCATCCCTGCCACTGATGTTCTTTTAAATCATAGGTGCAGAGGCCTCCAAACAGAGAACTAAGTATGTGAGTATAAAGGAAAAGGAAATGAAAAGCAAGAAGAGCAGCCAACTTGTATGCTGAGTCTTCGGTGGAAAAATTTTCTTCTTCCAGAAATGAGAATAAATCTTAAGAAGTCAGGAAAACAGCAGGCCCGCTGCCCTGAGAGGAGGAGGATGGAGCCTTTGGCTCCTCCGGCTCCTGCGTTTTCTGGCCTTTTATTGGAGCGCGCACTGCAAGCCCGCCGGGCTGTGTGGCAGGCTACCTTTCCTCCGCACTCCTGTCCAAAGCCTGGGCTGCGGACTGTAATGTCTCACACATGTTTCCTGCAGACAGCCTTCGCTCCGGTCCCAAAACAAGTATGTGCCTCATAGCACTCAAAATAATAATAATTATAATAAGCCATGATTTCTAAAATAAATGGAATAAATCTTCTCTTACAATTAGTGAAAATGCTTGTGTCACAATCACATGCATTCTGGGACCAGGACGCATGAAGCTCTTAGTTTATCTTGACATAAAGCTTTGCAGAGTCAGTTATTTAAGAATTTGAGAGGTGGTCTGCATTTCTCAGCAGCACCATGTGGACAAGCTTCACAATGTGCTTTAAATTGCCTGACCAGGCATAGTGGTATAGTGACTATGTTGTGTCCCATCGGGGAAATCTGTCCATTTAAAAAGAGCTGTCCCGGCCATAAATTAGTCCCGTGGGCTTTCTCTAGGGCCAGGTGTGATTTGGGCTCATTTAGAGTGAAATGGGGTTTATAGGAATGTCAACGACAAACAGATCTAAAACAATGAACCTAACAGATGGTAAGGACTCGGGAGGCGCTTAGAGTTTTTAGAGCTGTACTTGGGTAACCATAGAGGAAATTTTAAAAGAGACAGAAAGTATTTTCCATTAGGGGAGGATTTGTTTATTCTGTTTAACTTAATCAGGAAAATTGGCTTCATTTGTTCCGAGAGTTGCAAAGGGTTGCAAACCGGGCCAGGATCATTTGGCCAAACGCATATGCATGAATGTTAACAGCTGTGGTAATAACTATCGCATACTGAGCACATGCATGAGCCAGGGGCTGGACGGTACCGTTAAGGATGGTCTGTTCAGCTCCTCGGAGCAGCCCCACAGGCCTGAGGCACAGAGGAACCGCCCCAGGCCACACGCTGCCAGGAGGACACCTCAGGACCAGGCCAACCTGCACCCCGGGATCTTCCCAAGACAATGGGGTTCCCATGTTTGGCCACGGAAATAAACTCTATCTGAAATCATATTCTTAGTTTGGGAACAAAACAAATAAGTCATCTTGGAACTACGTGAGTAATCGAAAAGAAGGCGAGCTCTGGCTCCTGAACGGACACTATCCTCAGCCTTTTCTCTTCAACAGTTTCCAGCGTGCAGAGCTGGCGAGCTTGAGCGAGTGAGAGATGAGCTGAACTAATGGGTAATTGCTACTTTATGGATGACAATTAGAATTATGCAGATCTCAGCGATTTCTTCTCCTCTCTGCAACTGGAAATGCAAATAGGATACAGTACAGAAACTTTGGAGGGGTTGTTACACTGACCTAGTTGAGACATTTGTTACACAGAATTCGTATCACCAAGAAATCGCTGAATCCAGAAGGGATGTGACAGCTCCTCTGAGGACAGCTCAGTCTCTCCTTTCAGCAAGGGAAAGAAATGAAACCTCCAGAAGTTAAGTGACTTATTATAGAGGAATTTTTAAAAACACATATCCAATAAAAGAAAGCTATAGAGGTAGTGTACATAGTACCAAAAAGCACAGCATTTGGCTGGACAGCTGGGGATGGAGCTCAAGATCAGCTATTCATAAGATGCAGAAGCAGAGAAAAATATGTAAGTGGAGGCTCAGTCCCCCAGCCACAAAACAGACATGTAGGTTGCCAGTTGCATTAGGTGTGGTATTGACTAAGGATAAAGCAATGGCTGCTTGGAGAGCTAAATAAATGACGCACAATATAGACAGAAAGCTCCTTCTTCTATAACACTCCTTGCAGTGAAATTTGTCCTCTGGTAAACTGGCTTCTATTAAAGTGTGGGAAGGCAATGATCATCCTATTCTATTTAGCACTGCAGTTGTTGAAAGAAAGGTCCATTTTGGCAAAAGGATATCCCTTGGTTTCTTAGGGTGGAATACAAGGTATTGGTTGCTAAGAGGTGTTGTCTACTCTTTTAAGCCCTGTGGGAGGACCAGAAGGAACTCCCCTTGAGCTTTTGCTGAAGCAGCAGCCCTGATTTCCACCTCTCCAGCAAAACCTTAACCTTTCCTTAAATGTAAAGGTTAGAGTTAAGACAGGGTGATACCTTCTCATTTAGATGCCAGATAATAGGATGTCACAGTAAGTTTCTTGTCCACGGTAAATTTCTGAATATTATCATACAAAATGAACTGAGTCTCGTACCTTCTGCAACTGTTGGAAAATGTAGGACAGCGTCCTTGGGATGATCCCTCTGTCGCTATAGCGCTCGGCTCCACCCGTGATAGTGAAGGTCTTGCCACTTCCTGTCTGCCCGTAGGCAAAGACGGTACCGTTGTACCCTGCCAGGACACTGCAAAGCAGGAATGGCAAACTTTTAATACTGAAATTGCTATGTGCATTTGCACGAGACGGCTCCTATTGTAATGTTAATCTTGTGAAATGCTACTGGAATGACGCTAATGGGAAATTCTACAGAGATATTTAAGTATGCGCGTGCCTACCTATCCAGAATTTATGTTTTAATCTAAGAATATTCATGCATTGAAACTTTCCTCCTAAAAAGGACACGTGGCTCAAATGGAGTCCAGTCGTCTCAAATATTTTCTATGTCAGTATATTGGCGTTGAATCAGAGTATGTTAAAAAATGAGTCTTGGAAAACAATACCCCCAGTGTGACCAGCTGTTCACCTGACACCTGGTATGTCACCTGTGAATGTGCACAGTGGCTGTCGTTTCTGAGCACACAGGCACACACTGTGTGTGCTGCTATGGAACCTGTCACGTAATTCCATACTTAATTCTCAGCACCAACTGGAACTCTGCTGCTCTCTTTCCTTGGAATGACTTTCTGGTAAGACTCTGTGGCCATTAGTGTTCTGCAGCTCTGCAGAACAGCCCTCTGTGTGACGGTGGTCCAGGGACCCTGAACACGCCCGGCTGTTGCAGGCCACCACCTGGGGCACATGCTTCTGATGATGTGCATGACATGATGCAGACTTTTTTCAAGCGTGGGTCTTTTATCTGTGGTACACAGAATAGTAAACTCTTGCAGCTTTTCTCACTTTCCTCCTTTCTTTTGGTTACAAGTGGCTCTTGATCTGCAAGATGTTTTCATCAAGCTAGCTCTGGTGATGTCAGCTAATGGTACCCACATTGCAACTGGTTTTTAGATGCAAAGATCACTCTTTACTGTTCACACTGGGCTTTCTGCTGTACTGCTGCCACTGAGATCCTGTGCACAATTCTCTCTAGGCCTCACGATGCTCTCATGCCTACATGTTGAGTGGTGTATCACCATAATTCCGTCTCAAAATACGCATTTTGCCTACAGCTCATTCTGAAGTGGTCAGCAAAGACCTCAGCATCTTATACAGGCAGAAAACTACAAAAATATCTTTAGCTACAAAGGAATACATCCTGTCACCAGTAAGGAGCTGCTGTCAGTGCTGCAGACTCAAAGGACTTAGTAAGAAAGAGAAAAAATACATTGCTACTGTGTGGTTTAATGTTCTCCTTTTGAGAATTTTCATCTCTTCATGTGTCTACACATGGTGACAGTGCACTGTTGAAATGCTCAGCTTGTTAGGATGCTCGAGCTACCATAATGCTCTTAGGTAAGAGATTATAGAATCTTTTTCCCCAATAGAATTTGTCACCAATTAAACACAAATGTCCCATTAGCAAAATGATTTGGAAATGCAATATTTCTTGGCCATAAATGCTCTAAATAAATGAAGTCTACAACTTTAAGTATCAGATCATGAACACTGTATTGATTCTTGACAGAAAACAAAGACTATACGCACAAGTTAACATTTTCATTTTGACACAGTGTAGCCAGGAAAGTGAATAATGTATCATGTCCCCTTGGTGCCGGCTGATGGTTACATCTACCTTGTTACACTTAACTCTTCTCACTGCTGGCGATCCTGCACATGTGCCTTTAATATGTGCTTCCCCTCCCCTCATGTGCTATGGGGACAGAAAAGCAGAGGGTATAGTTTAAAGGACCCTGTGCAAAGCAAAAAGGATACAGATACTCCGATGGCTATTTATTATACTGCTACAATAAAAATTTAATAAAGTAATGACCGTGGGCAAATTCTGTCTCTAGTTTCTTTGTCTAGAAACCTCCTCTCTCCAGTCTTCTGTTTACTCTTCATTGGGCCCTAGACGTTTTCATGTGCTTCCAGTGTCATCTATGCTTAGAAAGTACACAGACTAAAAATAAAAGAGAAAGAACTGGCATGTAAAATTTTTAAAAAATTTACTCCTCCACGGGAACAATGACATCAGTGGCAAAAATGGTCAAAATCAAATTTTTTCAGAACTTGGGAAGTCATCCAAAGGTGCAAAACAATCCAAGGATTGCTTAAGAAAACAGCTGAAACACTGCAGGAATAGGGAGTTTTGTGATGTTTTAGCTTGAAAATTCCCAGCCCTCTTTCCACAGATCTATGACAGCCTTGAAAATTAATAGCCTTGGATCCACAGGAGCTGTAGAAACCAGCAGCCTATCTGTCATATAAGAGCAACACAAGTTTGGAGCTCCCCAAAAAGCCCCATTACCAGAGAAATGCCAGTCTCTGGCCTCCCTGGGAGCCCCCTGGAAAAGTTTCATTCCAAGCACAGAGGGCTCTGTGCTTGGCTCACACCTCGCTTGAGCGAGCAGCCTTATTTCCAGGGTGTTTGTTGAAAATAATCAGTGGCAAGTGTTTAACATCACAGCGTCCTGTGAGGTGAACAAGCAGTGAGGTAAATAGGAATGTGGCCACGTGCTTCAAAATCTGTGGAATGAGTTGTCTGTAAGGTGATCTGAGAGGCTGCGATATATTCCTTGGACTCTAGAAGGCCACACATTTGTTCCTGGGCATGTACGTGCATGTCCAGATAAGGCTTCAGAAGTACATTTTACCTTACTTCTGGTTGGCCTTGAGATTGCACAAGCAGAAACTGTGAGGCAGGGCAGATATTGAGGCTGAAGGTGTGTCACACACAAGGAGACCTCATTGGTGTGAGGTCGGAGACTGACAGATGCATGACGCATAAGGACATCTGTCTGGTGAATTAGCTGAGCGCTAAGCTAGAGGATAAGAGATTTCAGAGGCTGTATGGAACAAGGATATGAGGCAAACAAGACGGTGACGAAAATTTAAAAGAAAAATCTATAGACTAAAATGTCAGTAAGAGGTTTAGAAAAATCACTAACACATTCCGATGCAGACTTTACAGAATTAGCCCAGAACGGCTGCTACAGACACAAGCAGTAAGGTAACAGCAGTGGTAGACAGTCCTGGGAGGAGGAAACCTGGCTTCCAGGGCTGCTACAGCTGAGAACTGAAAATGCCAGCTTGTAAATAATTAGAAGACACACACGAAGAAAACATTCCCATATACATGAAATAAAAGGGTAAACAGAAACAGTCCTTACAGCAGCACAGCTGTTGTTTTCCTATGCAAAGGATCTGAATGAGCTAATACAGATGTGTTCAAGGAACAAAAGGAAAGCATGGTCAGAGTTAAATTACACAGAATTAGGCATATCAATACAATGATAGAAATTATTTATAAGGAGCCAAATAGAAATTCTGGGGTCAAACACTAAAACATCCAAAATTAAAACAGAACATTTGAGTTGGCAGAAGCAGCAGTGAACTCGACGATAGTTTAAGTCAGGTTATCAAGTCTGAGGAAGGGAAAAAAAAAAGAACAGAGAAAAATGAAGAGAGACCTCAGAGACCAACATGCACGTAAGGGGAGTCCTAGAGGAGAGGGGAGGGAACACTTAAAGGAACGTCACAGACAACTTCTTGAATTTGATGAAAACATTAATCCAAATATCCAAGAAGTTCAGTGAATTCAAAATAAAACAGGAAGACATCTACATGCAGACACATCAGGATCAAACTGTCTACAGACGCGGAATCTTGAAAGGAGCGAGAGAGAAGCAACTGATGAGATACACACACACACTAGGAAGTAGGGAGCGAGATCTTTCGTACATGGGCCAGGGGTCAAGATACGGAGGAAAGGCGTGGAGAGGAGAGGAAGGAGTGAAGGAAGGAGTCAGGGTATGTCATGTGCACGCACCTGCTCTACACAAGGCATGCAAACACTACGAACTGTAAACACGCACTAATGTGCAGCAGGGAAAAAGTAAGACACCGCGCGCCAGGTAGCTCCTGCCACAGGTAAGGCTTTAGCCCAAGTAAATTTTATTAGAAAAAAAAGAAACATAAGTACTCCTCATAGACTCAAAACTGGATTTCTCCTCTGTAGAGGCCGGAGGTAACAGATAACACACTCAGAATGCTGCAAGAAAGAAACTGGACTGGATAGCTTGCTTGGCAGAAGGGGATGAACTTCTAAAATTTCTATTTTAATTTCTCATCAGATTGTCCATTATGCGGTGTAGAAATACACTTATTTTTGTGCATTGATCTTGTAACCTGCAAGCTTATTGAGTTTATGTATAACTTTTAATAGTGCCACAGGATTCTGTGATAATCACACACACACACATACACACACACACACACACACACACACACACACACGCACATTCAGATGTATGCCTCATAATCTGTTTCCATTCACAGTTCCTGACTTTGTAACTCCCCTCCCAAGACAGGCCACAGGACTAGAATTTCTCTTTTCAAAGGTAAGTCACAGAGACTCTCATTGGTCACAAGCACATTCTCTGACCTACCCTGTGATAGACGATGAGCCCCATTTCAGGAGGGTCTTCCCCACCTCACAGGTGGGGATGCTGAAGAATCTGAACAGACACACCTTCCTGGGTTTACCCATCCGGTCCGTTGCCATCAGACCACACTCGTTCCTTCCAGTCAGTTCCCCACGGGTACTCATGCTTCAGTGATGCCTAACAGTGAAGTCTCCATGAAAACCCGTAAGGAGCTGGGCCTAGTGACACAGCCTGTAATCCCAGCACTCTGGGAGGCTGAGGCAGGAGAACTGCAAGTTCATGCCTGACCTCAGTAACTTAGTGAGACTTGTCTCAAAATTTTACACAATTAAAAATGGGCTGGGGATGTGGTAGCTAGTGTGATGGCCTTAGGTTTGATCCCTGCTACACAGAATAAACAGAGTCCTAAAGGACAGGGCTCAGAGAGGCTCTGGACATGGACAGCAGGGAAAGTTCCCACTCATTCTGCGAGGCCTGCTGCTGTGGCTTTATCTGTACCTCTTGTAATATGCTTTACTGTAAGCCAGCATGTGTTTCCTTGCAGCCTATGAATCTCTTAATCAAACCAGAGAATCGTGGGAGCCATAATTTATAGCTGTTTGGTTGGAAGCATAGCTAAGACCATAGGAGGCTTGTAATCAGC